ACATCCAGGATTCAAGTAAAATTCTTCCAGCTGAACTAGAGCCATCCAATTCTTATACCAGGTTCCAGATAAAAGTTGGCAGGGTAAATAGAAGTGACCAGTGGAAGAATGTGTTCATTTCAGTCTCAAGTTGTTGCTGGGCAGAGCATCCTCCCTGTGGCTTAAGCAGGGATATTGGAAGGGGCACCGCCCACGGGAAGAGGCTAGGGGTGCTGGCGTTCACGAGCCCAGACTCCAGGTAGGCTGCCCGGGTTTAAATCTGCGCTTTCTTTTCTTTTCCAGCTTTATGAATCTCAATTTCACACCCTTTATTTGCTGCGTACCCATGGGCAAGTCACTTAAGCCTTTTAAACTTTAAGGTTCAGCTATAAAATGGGAATTAAGAATTAGTATCTGCTTTTTGGGGTTTTGGGGATGCAGTCAGGTACGTGGAGCCCACAGCATAATGCCTGGCACACATGCTTGTCCAGTAAGGGGGCCAGTAACAATCTTTATTTTATTAGTGTTGTTGTCAATACTTATGTATGTATCGCTCACTCTGCTCTTTTAATATACATTTAATACTATTGGCATTAGGAGCTGTGTTAAAAATCTGTTACATGGGTGCCTGGGTGGCTCAGTTGTTTAAGCGACTGCCTTCGGCTCAGGTCATGATCCTGGAGTCCCGGGATCGAATCCCGCATCGGGCTCCCTGCTCAGCAGGGAGTCTGCTTCTCCCTCTGACCCTCCCCCCTCTCATGTGCTCTCTCTCTCTCTCTCATTCTCGCTCTCTCAAATAAATAAAATCTTTAAAAAAAAAATCTGTTACAATACATTTGGGTTCACAAAAATTTAAATTGACTTGGTAAAAACCACGGTAAGCAAAGTCAAATGACAAACGGGCCAGGGGCTATATTTGCAATTCATAACGTACACAAAGGGTTCATTTCCTAATATATAAAGAACTACTCAATAAAAAAATGGGCAGTCGTAAGGCTTTTTATGGTGATACTCTTCCATCATGTGAATACATATACTCGGAGCAAAACAGGAAAACCCTAGGTTGGAGGGGGGCTTGGGACACATAGAGCCAAAGAAATGTCCATGAGTGTGTAAACAGACCTGAAACTTTTGTTTTTCCCCATAAAGTAGCTCCCTCTCAGAAATGTTCTGTTACTGTCAGCGGTACCCTCATATTTACCCTGTCACCCATGATTTTCTCATTTCCTTTTCCTGGTTCCCCCGTACCCAGAAAGTCACAGAGTCTTTTCTGGGTTTCATTCAGAGTAGTTCACATCTGCTCCAATCTTTCCAGGCCTGCAACTACTATTTTAGTCAAAAAGACACTCAATATCTGACTGAACTGCTGCCCTGGTTTCCCTTACTTTCTCTCGTTCTCTCCTCCAGGCACCACGGTATACCACGCCCAGATGAGTTTCCCCAAAACAGGGTTTTCATGTCGGGCCACCAACCTGCTCAGAAACCTTCAGTGGTTCCCTACAATCTAGAATGGAGTCTGCCTTCTGAACCCGACCCTCAGGGTCCCTTCATATGATTCACTGTCCTTATGTCTTCTAGCCTTACTTAGTCTTTCTCACTATGACTCTTTAGGGACCCTCTAAACACCTAACCTGATGGGCTTGGCCTGGCCCACTGTGCGCATTTCTGCCTTCACGCTGCCCAGCTCTGCTTCCGTCTCCTCCATCCCAATGGCCGCCCATTGTTTTCTTACCTCGCTGCATGTATTGGTTGTCTGGACCTCCCCTCTCACGTTTAACCTTTGCCACCTATGTTGTTTTAGGTAAACTTTCTCATTGAAGTAGAACGTAATCCAGAGGTGCACAGATCACAAAGTAAATCAGTAACTTTTCACAAGGTGAACACACCCATGTCACCGACGTGCCTGTCTTCTGGTTCATACCCTATCTCCCTGACTAGCTGGTAAGCACTTGAGAGACAGAACCACATTGTATGCCTTCACATGCAAGTGCATCACATCAGGTGCTCAGTGACATTCCAGATCAGGAATTTGAGCTAAGAAAGGGGTCTAGGCTTTGACAAATAAGAAACACGGAAATTTAAAGGAATGTGTGAAATTTCCATTACTAACTACAAATTCTTTCTTGACAACTGGTTACAGTTGAGATATGATTAGAGGTAATATAATTTTGGTGAGTCCTGTTCAAGGGTTTCTAGGTGGTGACCTGTAAGTAAGACCTTTAAATCCAGTCTGAACAAGGCCATATCAAAGCTTTCTCTTTTCAGATAAGGCATGCAGACATGTACAACATTAGTTTTTCTTGTCATTCTCTCCAGCAAATATTTATTGATCATATACAGTCTACTAGGTACGGTTCCAGCATATGGTAGTATTCCGCTGTGAGTAACATAAAAGATCCTTCCTCTATAGAGCTTATATTTTATTTATTTATTTATTTATTTATTTATTTATTTATTTATTTATTTATTTTTAAAGATTTTATTTATTTATTTGGCAGAGAGACACAGCGAAGAGAGGGAACACAAGCAGGGGGAGTGGGAGAGGGAGAAGCAGGCTTCCCGCCGAGCAGGAGCCCAACGTGGGGCTCGATCCCAGGACCCTGGGATCATGATCTGAGCCGGAGGCAGACACTTAACGACTGAGCCGCCCAGGCGCCCCTAGAGCTTGTGTTTTAATGAGTCACTAGAAATAATTGATAGAACTGAAAGAAAGGCTTAAGACTAAAGATACACAACAAGGCCTAAATAATACGAGAATGGTGAAAAATTGTTCCGAAATCCTCATCAACATACAGAGAGAATAAGAGCATGGAGATAAGGGCTAAAGGAAGATCAGCCCTGCACTAGGGACTTCTGGGTCAGAAATCCGTTTGTGGCATTATCAAAGGTACGAAAGAAGGCGGCAACTCAAAAGGGTAAAATAAGTCCAGGCTTAAGGAGAGCAGAGAGATGTCAAAAACATCATAGGAAACACTTAATTTTCAGCAGTGCCTTCCAGTTTACAAGGAAGGGACTTTGACTTGTTCATCCTCCCGGATCTTGGCCACTCTGATCTTGCACAGACTGTGCGTACAGGGCAGTATCACGTAAGCATAGTCACGCAGCTCCCGTGTGCTTGGTGTGAGTGTAGACTGACTTCAGTACTCTTCCCCAGGCTGCCCTTATCACCATATTTACTGTTTACTTGAAACCTGAAGCATGAGGAGCTCCCTGGCAAATCGCGCTAGCCAGAGGTTATCCACATAAGGCAAAGAGCAGTCAGGCAGATCACTTGCCAGCTCCTAGCTGTGGCTATATTGCTGGGAAACGTAGGCACAGGGGATGGAAGGTGGAGGACCCCTAGGCTGCTAATCCTGAAAAAGTCACTTGTTGAAAGTATTATGAGTTCCCTTTCAGTTTTGTTTGGTCTTGTCTTTTATTGCCCCTTTGGTAATATCTTTTTTGTACCTACAAGGCTTCGGTTTGCAAAGCTATAAATCTGCCAGTCTTGTTGACGTGGCTTTCACTTTGAATTAAGGTTCAGCAAAGGGATTAGCGCATAACAGTTTCAGGCTGTATTTCTTTACACAAAAGGGTGGATATGGTTTGAACAGGCTGCCAAAGCCAGGAAGAGAAGTTAATTGTGTAAATCAATGCAGGCAAGAGCTGATCACCTTTCTGAAAGACAAGACAATGCAGCATACAACCTCTAAATAGATCTTTGGGGTCAAGTTGATGTCATGTGGAAGAATCAATATTTACGGGGCTTTATGAAGTTAGCCTTAATGAACCCCAGGCATTTTGCTAGGCCGCTAATTGCAGGAAGAGGAAAGGCGACAGTGGCTGAAGTCCATGGCTATGGAGGTTGTATAAAAATAAGTGAAGAGACAGTCACTTGCTTACGTGCAAGGGGCCCACCCTAGGTTCTACCCAAGCATTTGTTGGGTATGTGTTTGGAAAGGCTGGCTTTCTTGAGATTTTACTGACATTTTAAGAAAAGGCAACTTTTGCATCCTAACAGAAGAAGGTAAGTCCTTTACACTTTGACACCGTTATCTAAGCAGTTTTCTGAGATGAGGTTTTTTTTTTTTTAAGATTTTATTTATGTATTTGATAGAGAGCACAAGCAGGGGGAGCGGCAGGCAGAGGGAGAGGGAGAAGCAGGCTCCCTGCTGAGCAGGGAGCCCGTGCAGGACTCCATCCCAGGACCCTGGGACCATGACCCAAGCCAAAGGCAGACGCCTAACCAACTGAGCCACCCAGGCGCCCATCTGAGATGAGTTCTGATGTCATTTTGGATTCTGCCTTATAAATGTGCTAATCACAGGGGCAGGTCCCTCTCAGAGTATAGCTCATCCCTCCCTCTGACTCACTTGAAAGGTTTTATAGTAAAGAATTGTAGTAAAGAGCGTTTACTTTGGGATGCTGGCTTCAATCCAAGTTGAATAAAAGATTTTTGATAAATATCATTTGCACATGTGATATCATCCAGTAGAAGGCTGTTTGGTATGCCTAAGTGTTCTGTATTCCTCACGGGGTTGGCAGAATCACTGGTGGGTTAGGAGCCTTATCTTCTATTTATTTTAGTGGGTGCTTCTACTAAATGTTGTTGACTAGGTAGAGGAATGCACTGTCTCATATTTTATCCTGGCTGTAACAAAATGACAATCCTATAGAGTCAGGAACTGAAAGTTATCAAGCAGCTTTGTTAGGTGCTGTGAGTCAGAGTGTGGCCCCAGATGTTTGTTAGAAGCTCTAGGTCATGTGTGCTTAGTAGATAAATTTTGGAACTGAATTTTCAGCCCTCTTTCCTTAGTGTCTTTTATCAGAGGAGGCTTTAAAATTCACAGAGAGAAGAGCTTCTGTTCTCTTCTCACTCCCACTCCCATTCCTTCTCTCCGGGATCGTTTTTCAGAATAAATACTGAAAAGGAAAAGCATGAGAGGTTTGTTGGGATTGTTGTAGTGTTTTTACAAGAGAATCTGACGTTTGCTATTTTCATCTTTGGATATTCATTCTGGGTTTGTATTCTTTCTTTTCAGCTGTTTGAGAACTTCTACTTTGGTACCCTGAAGCTTAATTCAATTCACATCTCTCAGAGGTTCACAGTAGACAGCTTTGGAAACTACGCCTCCTGTGGGCAAATTGACTTCTCCTGAGGTGGATCTTGGGAAGCGCTAGAAGTTGAACATCCTCACAAGGTGCAGAGGGAAAGTATCCTCATTTGAATTACTGAAGAGGGATGTTGAAATTTGAATGGTGACTTTCCTGGGAGGTTCCCCACACGAACCATGGTCTCTAATGGTTGTTCACAGTCCTCAAACTGTCTGTCGTCCAAGGGAGTTGTGGGCACCGGGTGGTTGTGTAACCCTTGGCTTGTTCATCTTTCACAGGGTCTACCTTTCTTGCTGAAGTTCTTCTCTGGAAATGTACGTCTCAAGCCCATTGGAGCTGAGATTCACGTTATTTCTTATACACCTACTGATTTTGCTCCAGCCATTAAAGTTTCATATTAATACTTTAAAAGAGAATTAAAGATGTGGTTTTGTTACTCTCTCCACCTAAATCAAATGTCTACAGTTTTTAGAAGGTTTGATTTTTACTTCGCTTTATACCTTAACCTTTTTTTTTTTTGAAGATTTATTTATTTTAAAGAGAGAAAGAGCAGGGAGAGGGCAGAGGGAGAGGGAGAGAGAGAAGCTCAAGCAGGCTGTGCGCTGAGCATGGAGCCCAGTCTCACGACCCTGAGATCATGACCTGAGCCGAAATCAGAAGTCGGGTGCTTAACCCACTGAGTTACCCAGGTGCCCCTGTACTTTAACTTTTTTTTTTTTTAAGATTTTATTTATTTGAGAGTGAGAGAGAGCTAGAGCACACGGGCAAGAAAGCACATGAGCTGAGAGGAAGGGCAGAGGGAGAGGGAGAAGCAGACTCCCTGCTGAGCAAGGAGCTGGATGCAGGGCTCCATCCCAGGACTCTGGGACCACGACAGAGCCGAAGGCAGACGCTCAACCAATTGGGCCACCCAGGCGCCCCTGTACCTTAACTTTTAATCACTACCCAGAAGGTTTAACCATTTGTTAGTGTACGGTTCAGCATTGTTAAGTGTCCTCACATTGTTCTGAAACATCTCCAGAACTTCTTGCAAATCTGAAACTATACCTGTAAACAACTCTCCATTTCCCTCTCCCCCAGGTGCCTGGCAACCACCCTTCTACTTTCTTTCTGTGAATTTGTCTACTTTAGATTCCTCATATAAGTGGGATCATACAGTATTTGTCTTTTTGTGACTGGCCTATTGGCACTTAGCAAAACATCCTCAGGGTTCATCCATGTTGTAGCATTGGTCAAAATTACCTTCCTGTAAAAAAGGCTGAATAATATTCCCTTGTACCTGTACACCACGTTTTGTTTATCCATTCAGCCACCACTGGACACTTGGGTTCCTTGACCTCTTGGTTGTTGTGAATATAGTGGTCTACGAACATGGGTGTATAGGAATTTCTTCGCGATCCTGCTTTCAGTTCCTTCACTACTCAGAATTTTATCTTTAGCAAAATAACTTAAAGTTTTTATCTTTTACTTTGGTCTGTCCTCTTTCTTCTGAAGCTGGAACTCTTTTGTATTTGTTAGGTTACCGTTCCTTACCTTACCCTCCCTCCAGCCTTTCCAGGCCACTGATGGAGTTATGGCATCATAACTCTTTTATATTTACTCCTCGGGGTGACAGCAGTGGAAACAGTGACAATATTGTCAGGAGGATGCAGAGTTCCCTGGGGCAGGGGCAGCTGCGGAAGCTCCTTCCTTGCCACAGACCAGTGGACGGAGGGGGCTCCCGGCATGGCTTCCCCGACCCATCAGCCCCGCCACATGCTCTGCTGGCGAGCTCCAGCCTCACCCTCACCTCCTCTGTTCACAGCCCTCTCCCTCCATGTCACCTCTTTCTCTTCCCTTCATTCCTTACTCTTATTTTGATTCTTTCTGTTTGAAAAGTCTCATTCTGAACCCTGTGCGTTAATGCTGCTACACAGTAAGGGCCGTGTGTACCACTCAGATTGGTTCATCAGTGTGACTGCACAGATCATCTGTGAATAAATGAATTTCCAAAGTCACTGTGTTTTTCTCTAGTATTATCGTACAGTTTTAGCTTGACCCCCTTCATCGGGGTGTGTTGGGATATGGTGTTGCCCTCACTGACTCCCTAGCATAGCTGTATCATTCATCCAGAACTTACACATGAGTGCCTGCAGGTGGTTTTTTCTCCAGATGCCTTCTACTAGGAACATTCATTTTTTTTTTTTAATTTATTTAAGTTGAGGTTTTACCTCGTTTACCATCAGTGGTTAGATGGCACGTGGGAAGGAGTGCTCCAAGGGATCATACTGAATAGCGGAGCTGACAGCAGAGGTCAGTGTCCTCATCTCATCCCAGCCCTTCTCTCTTACTGGTTTCTTTCTGACACCTGCCGCCCGGCAGCCTTGGCCAGGAAGTAAAGATGTCTTGTTTTCAATGTCAGAGATTTATGACCTGTGTTTCCAGTAAATTTTTTTTTTAAGTTTTATCTTTGGAAAGTGTAACTTTATCAAATCCTAAATTCTTTTTTTTTTTTGGAAGATTTTTACTTATTTGACAGAGAGAGAGAGACAGCGAGAGAGGGAACACAAGCAGGGGGAGTGGGAGAGGGAGAAGCAGGCTTCCTGCGGAGCAGGGAGCCCAAAGCGGGGCTGGATCCCAGGACCCCGGGATCATGACCTGAGCCAAAGGCAGACGCTTCACGACTGAGCCACCCAGGCGCCCCTCTTTTTTTTTGAACATAAAGATTTTTTTTTTTTAGTATCTCTACACCCAACGTGGGACTTGAACTCACAACTCTGAGATCAAGAGCTGCGTGCTCGGGGCACCTGGGTGGCTCAGTCGGTTGAGCGTCTGCCTTCGGCTCGGGTCATGATCCCAGGGTCCTGGGATTGAGCCCCGCATCGGGCTCCCTGCTCCGTGGGAAGCCTGCTTCTCCCTCTCCTCCCTGCTCAGTATTCTCACTCGCTATCTCTGTCTCTTGCTCTCAAATAAATAAATAAAATCTTAAAAAAAAAAAAAGAGCTGCGTGCTCTACCAACTGAACCAGCCAGGCACCCCCAAGTCCTAAATTCTTAATAGAATTGGAGATGCTGTTATTTAAAATTTAGAGGTAACTGTGCATTTAAGGACCTATTGTATTATTAAGTAATTTTTCACAAGTAATTTACCTTTTTCACTCTCCTTTTCACGATTCTACAGTGGATTTTTCCAGAGGCTACATGACATAGTGACAACTTCACTCCGTTGGTTAATGGAGCATGTACTTGTGTGTTTTGTGTTTCCTAGAACCTTGTCAGTTGTAGAAATTTGTAAGAATTTTCCAAGATTCGGGATCCCCTCCCACCTAATTGTAATGGGGTACATGTTGGAAGATTTGCTACTTGTGATTATAATCAAATAATCCTTTAATATTATCACTTAGTAATTCATTCTGCCCAGGAATAGAGTTAAATCGCAGCTCCCGTCCCTCCAGCTGGTTTTTGAGGCACTGACTTCACCGTCAGCTCCTCGCAGAGGAAGAGGAAAAACGGTCTCTCCCTGCAATTATCACACAAGATCTGTGTTGTTACATGAGAAACTTCGTCACGGGAGAATCATCTTGATTTTTGGGGAGGGGACACAAGGAGTTAGTCCCAGACAAACTCCGTACCCATGGTAGAAACGTGATAAAAGCCCCTTCTTGTCGTGGTTATGTTTAAGTGAGCTTCAGAATTTACTACCGTGGACACTGTTGAGAATCCAGCTTCGTAAGGACCCAAAGCTCGTTCGGGTTCACTCCTGCGCCGCACTCTCTCCCTGGAGCTGAAGGGAACCCCATGGCACCAGGGGTGTGTACTGAGTGAGGAAGACCTCTCAGATTCTCCCTTGATGCCTCCAGGGAACATGGATGTGCCAAGACACTACAGGCGAGAGAAAGGGCTGCCATCGGGGCTGTTTTTATTAATAGCTTTCTTGTTGTTGTTAATAAAATGCTCTTTTATTTTTTTATTTTTTTTAAGATTATTTATTTGACACAGAGAGAGAGAGTGAGAGAGCACAAGAACAGGGAGCAGCAGGCAGGCAGAGGGAGAGGGAGAAGCAGGCTCCCTGCGGAGCAAGGAGCCCGATGCGGGGCTCGGTCCCAGGACCCTGGGATCATGACCCGAGCTGAAGGCAGACGCTTAACCCACTGAGCCACCCAGGGGCCCCTAAAATGCTCTTTTAAACAAAAGATCAAATACATTCACCTTGTGGCAAGTCATCCAGCTGTAGCCTTTATGCTCTTTTCAACATGTATTTTATACTTCAGTTTAAATGTTGATTTATTTATTTAAAAAAATTTTTTTTTAAGATTTTATTTATTTATTTGACAGAGAGAGAGACAGCGAGAGCAGGAACACAAGCAGAGGGAGAGGCAGAGGGAGAAGCAGGCTCCCCGCGGAGTAGGGAGCCTGTATGCAGGGCTCGATCCCAGGACCCCGGGATCATGACCTGAGCTGAAGGCAGACGCTCAATGACTGAGCCACCCGGGCACCCCTAAATGTTGATTTAAAAACAAATTTCATCATCCAGAGGTTACTACTCCCTATGCTTTTAAGCACATATCATTATCAAATTGTTAAATAATGTTTCACAAATAACAGCTAATATTTGCGGGATGCTCACATTTCTCATTTGCGTATTTTTTTTTTTAAAGATTTCACACGCAAGTGGCGGCGGGGGGCGGGGCGCAGAGGGAAAGAGAATCTCAAGCAGGCCTGATGCAGGGCTCAATCCCAGGACTCTGAGATCATAATCTGAGCTGAAGTCAGCTGCTTAACCAACTGAGCCACCCAGGCGCCCCGAGTATTAACTCATTAATCTTTACAACAGCCTACTTCAGTTGGTATTATTATTACCCTCATTTTACAGACTGAGGCTTAACGAGGTTAAGAGATTTGCCTGAGGTCGTAACAGCTTATACCACCAGTTCTTAAAATGTGGTCTCTGGACCCCTGGGAATCCCTGGGAACCTTTTAGGGCTGTGTGTGAGGTCCACACTATTTTCTTAAAAATATTACTTGTTTTTTTCACTCTCATTCTCTCGTGAGTATACCGTGGAGTTTTCCAGAGGCTATGTGACATGGTGACATTATCACTCTGATGGTTAATGGAATATGTGCTCATATGTTTTTGTGTTTTCTAGAATTTTGTAAGTTGGCAGGTTTACATATAATGTAATATGTTAGTTATTTATTTTTTAAAAGATTTTGTTTATTTGACAGAGACACAGCGAGAGAGGGAACACAGGCAGGGGGAGTGGGAGAGGGAGAAGCCGGCTTCCTGCTGAGCAGGGAGCCCAATGCGGGGCTCAATCCCAGGACCCTGGGATCATGACCTGAGCGGAAGGCAGATGCTCAACGACTGAGCCACCCAGGTGCCCCAATGTAATACGTTTTTAGACATTAACTCAGTTTGCTCTCAGTATTTCTACTGTACTCTTACTAGCTCTTTTCAGTTTTATCTGCTGTTACAGGCTGAATTACATCCTTAGGAATTCATATGTTGAAGCCCTAACCCTCCAGCAGTTCAGAATGTGACTGTATTTGGAGACAGGACCTTTAAAGGGGTGATCAAGTAAAAATAAGGCTGAGGCCTTTAGGGTAGGCCCTAATCCATTCTGACTGATGTCTTTATAAGAAGAGGAAATATAGGTACATCAGACCCCTGGCTTCCGAGATCAGCCCCCCTGGGTCTTTCTTCAAAAAAGGTTGGTGATGACATCACCAAGCCAAATGGTGATTGGAAGGGTCTAAGGATTATGGTGAAGCTGACCATCCAGGACAGACAAGCACAGATTTAGATCCTTCTGCCTCTGCCCTGATCCGTGGGCTGCAGTGTGGCTGGCTGCTACCTTCATGACATCAACAGTGGTGTGGTGAAATGTCCAGTTAAGGACTAGAAAGGAAAATACTTCAATAAAGGGTTGTTACGATAACCAAAGGAAAAAAAAACCTTCAGACATGTGCGTGCATAGAGGAATGACCATGTACGACCCAGCAAGAAGGCAGCCATCTGCAAGCCAGGGAGAAAGGCCTCAGGAGAAACTAAACCTAGCAACACTTTAATCTTGGACTTCTAGTCTCCGGGACTTGGAGAAAATAAATTTCTGTTGTTGAAGCCACCCCCAGTTTGTGGTATTTTGTTATGACAGTCCTAACAAACTAATATACTTGTTATAATGCAGAAGCTAATCTACCAGTCTTCTTTTGAACCAGACATTAAATGTAAATCAATGCCCCCTTCTTGCTAGTTTTTTTTGGGGGGGGGCGGAATATAGTTGTGTTTCATAAAATACATGATTTTGTTAATATGTAATGGGTTCCTTATTGTTATTTTTAAATACACATTTTTTCACTTCTTAGGAGTTTCTTTAAAGATTTAAGAGCAGTTTTAGGTTCACAGCAAAATTTAGAGGCAGGCTTAGTTTTATTTTCAAGTACAATAGATAATATCTATGTCTATATATCTCATATAAACAAACTTTTGTAGGAGTCCTCAAGAATTTTTTAGCATAAAGGACCCCCGAAACCAGAAAGTTTGACAACTGCTATACCATGCTATACTTCTTCCAAATGGGATTATATTACACATGATCTTCTCTAACAAGCTTTTCTCATCCAGCAATATGTAGTGGGTCACCTTAGTTGTCAACAGATACAGATCTACATGATTTTTAATGTCTTTGCAATAGTTCATTGTGTGTATGTTTTATACTTTAGCTAGTTGGTCCCTGACTAATGGACAATGAGCTGGTTTCCAGGTTTGGCTATTATACCCAATTCTGGATTGAATATCTTTGTGCATTTTTTTAATGCTTGTGAGGTCATCCAGAAATGAGATTACATGGTTTTAAAGATATGGTTAAATGTAAGTTTCTTATTTAGAAACTAAAGTTCCTCCATTTTGTATTGCTGGGTGCTAAATACAAACAAAAATGCATAAAACATATGTACCATTTAACAAATACACCCAGCAGCTTTTGGGCCCATTCGTTTGAAAAGGCCAATCTAGTAATTCTCTCAAAGGTTAGTAAAACCTTTTCTTCTTTATAAATTATAATTGTCCATTTTCTACAACTCTTTTACCTGTCATCTGGAAAATTGGATTCTCTCCCCTAAATTAGCTCTGCTGTTGGCTTAATGACAGTCCTGGACTCCTGTTGATTTGCCTTCAGCGCCAATCAGCTGACCCAGCTTGAAGGTGTTGCAGAAGACCAGTCCCACTGAAGGGGCTGCCCAGGAGTGTGGGAAACATTTTGACCTTCAAAAGTCTAGAAACATCTATTGTTTTATTGATGGGCATCTTGTCAGTGCCTGTCCAAACGATTGGGCATATTGGGCAACTTTGGTAATTTTATTTTTTTTTATTTTTTTTATTTTTTAAAGATTTTATTTATTTATTCATGAGAGACAGAGAGAGAGAGAGAAGCAGAGGGAGAAGCAGGCTCCCAAGGAGCAGGGAGCCCAATGCGAGACTCGATCCCAGGACCCTGGGATCATGACCTGAGCCGAAGGCAGACGCTTAACCATCTGAGCCACCCAGGCGCCTGCAACTTCGGTAATTTTAGAAGATCAGGGACTTCATAAGATAGGACTGGAACCGGAGGACTATGTCTAGAATCTTCCTCAATGCCTTGGCAATAACACAGTGAGCTTTGCTAAGATGAGGATTGAGATGGTGGAAAAAGATGGCAAATTTTAGGACATCTTCAGAACTATGGGGCCTCAGAGCCTTCTCTTCTCCACCTGAGAAAAGAAGTAACATTTTTTAAACATCCGCTGTCCTACTTAGTATGTAGTTTTGCACGAGTTTCCCAGAATTCTTCTGAGATAGATGGTATTATCATTACAGATAGAAAATAGATTAGGGAACCTGCCCACTAACACAGCTAGTAAGTGGGTTTCCACCCCCAGTCTGACAAACTGTTCTCCCACTATACAGTCTTGTTTTACAGCCCGGCAAGGCTGCTGTATTTACTGGGAGACATTAACAGCCACAGCCGCCCTGCAGCACCACCTCTAAATCCAACCGCAAAGGAAAAAGAAAACATGGAAAAGGAGCTATTGTTTTCTGTTTTCCCAAGGGTACCCCAGCCCAAGCCATTGATGCAGTCAGAATTCTCAGGCAGGCCAGATTCAGGGTAACCTGTGTTATTTCCTACCGATTAAGATCATGTTTCTCATTGCCTTTGATTTGATTTTTTTTTTTTTTAAGACCACAGCAGCCAAGTCTTTTTATTAAAACACAATCTAAGGCTTGGGTCCCAAAAGTTCATTATGTTTGTCCTGTCAGATTCTCCATGTTTCCTCTTCCATTTATTAGTAATGTAAACCTCACCCCGTTTCTGCTCTGATCCTGGGACTGCCCATCCTCCAGCCTTCCCAGCTGGGATGGCAACACATTTTTACAGGCACCGATAAGGGTCACAGTTTTAACAAAAACCTAAACACCTCAGACAAAACCAGCCTCCCCTCCAACCCCCTTCCCCAGTGGCTTATTAGAAACAAGTTGAAGTCAAAAGCACGAACAAACGCGCCTTTTTCAAATGTGCAGCTTCAAGGCAGATGAAATGGTCAGACGTTTGCCTTTAGGGTTCCCCTAGAAAGGGTTAACAAAAGGGGTGAGCCCTGAAACAGCTGCTTGGGAAGGAGGACATCTGCCCCTCTCACCCGCCATTCAGTGCTGTGGCCTTGCCTGGAAAAAAGCATGTGGGGCTGGGAAGCAATAGTTCTCGGAGGCAGCCAGTTGTACTATGGCTTTTGTCTTAACGAAGCTGCCGGTGACTGTCAGAGCCATAACCCGCAGCAAGCCAGCTGTCAGGGCTGTGGCACAGGCCCCTCTGGGTGGCCGGCAAGGGGAGACAGAGTATCTGTGGCCAAATTCCCTCTTAGACACCTGAGCCTACTGGCTTTGTAACTGGAGAGATTTGTGTCCGCTGCACTCCCATCTTCCCTGGGGAGACACCCCCGGCCCTTTCTCTGGCTCTCCACCCTTGTAGAGACAGCAGGGACATCTCAGGATTTGGATTCCTTGGTTTGCAACTCCCTAAGTGCGAGGCTGGGTTGGGTTCTGCTGCGGTTGGCTGGCGTTTGGCGCTCTCATCTAGCGCTTCCCTTTGAAATCTGCCCCCTCCTCCCCCCCCTTTTCTTTTCTTTTCTTTTCTTTTTTTTTTTTTTAAACCAGGTATGATGATGTCAAACGTGATGCTGATGCTACAGTTACAGACACGGCCCCTGCTGGCGCAGCCTCTCTGATTCTCTCTCCCTCTCCGCGTCCAGCGCTGGGCTTTTTCAGACAAGTGCATCTCCTAACCAGGTCACATTTCAGCCGCGACCCACTATCCGTCTGTCACCGGAGTCAGACCGCAGGAGGGCGGAGGAAGACGACGGCGTTTGCTTCGCCAACCGCGGGGTGGGAAGAAGGACATTAAAATCCTGCAGAAGTCAAGACCACCCCCCACCCACCTCCAGGTCGGACCCTGACCATGATGCGCGCCCCGGGCTGCGGGCGGCTGGTGCTGCCCCTGCTGCTCTTCGCCGCGGCCGCCCTGGCCGAAGGCGACGCCAAAGGGCTCAAGGAGGGCGAGACCCCCGGCAATTTCATGGAGGACGAGCAATGGCTGTCGTCCATCTCGCAGTACAGCGGCAAGATCAAGCACTGGAACCGCTTTCGAGACGTGAGTCTGCAGGGCCGCGAGGGCCAGGGGCGCGGGTTTGGGGAGGAAGGCTCGGAGCGGAGCCCCGGGCGCCGGGAGCGGTGGCGGCACGTCGCAGCCACCCGCCCCGCAGCCCAGCCAGCTGACCGCACCGAGAGTAAACAACGCGCACCCACCCGCTCCCGCCTGCCGTCGCCGGCCCAGCTCGGCGCCCCCTCCTTGAGACCACCCCCCCAGGCCCGGGACCCCAAGCCCTACAGCCGCCCCGGGCGAGTCCCGGGCAAGGAGTTGCTCCGGGTGCGCGCGCTCCAGACGCGGTCTCCACTGCAGGTCGGGCGCGGAGAGGGGCGCGGGATGCAAGTGGGGGTGCAGGGCGGGAGGGGTGGGGGCCCTGGCTGCGGCTGAACCCCCGACCGGCTCCCCTCCTTTTTGGTGGAAAAAAAAAAAGAGGCCCCAGGCCTGCCCCCAGCTGGGTGGATGCCGCAGGCTCCACATACGGGGCACTGCAGAACGGGCAGGTCTGGGTGCGGCCCGCGGGTAGGTAGCATCGTCTTGAGCGAGTGCCCTCTATTCCCACCTTGGGCTTTGGGGGAGGGAGGACAGAAGGGGACAGAGCCCTTGGCTGGAGCTTTGAGTTGGGGATGGGGGGAGGTGTCCTAGCAGTCCTCATTAGGCGACATGGTGAAAGGCGTGTCCATGATTGGGGGCAGGCGACGGCAGTGAAAATAGCCGAGGCCACCTCCGGGTGTCCACTAGAGCCAGATCTGGGGTCCCCGTGCAGAGTGGCGCGAGCTCATGGAGGTTGGTTTTCCAAGAGCAACCTTTCGTGGGGGAGCCGGGCCCAGAGAAGGCAGAAGCTCCGATCCAGAGGAAAGACTCCGCAGCCCGGTGGGCTTGAAAAGCAGAAGGGAAAGCCCAGGAGCTGGGTCTGCGGTCCCTTTGGGAACAGGGACGCCTGCCCGAACCCTGGCCTTGGGCCGAACCTAGCCTAGTGGGGGTTGGGGAGGCGGCTGCGGACTAGCCGGGCTTGCTGCAGCACTTTGTTTACGAGCACCTGTAGATCAGAGGGGAAACCGGAGGCTGAGTTCCCAGAAGGGGGAAGTAGGAGCTGGGGGCGGGGGGCGGGTAACAGAGGGCGTGGCTGGAACCCAGAGAAGGGGGCCGGGTGTGAGGTGGAGGATGGGCCCGGATGCGGATGCACTGGAGGAGAAGAATGCTGGTCCTGGCCACCTAGTGCTTTCAGATGCCTGCCAGTTCCCAGAAAGCCTCTAATAGGACTCCAGTTCTCACTTTTCATTTGCCAAGTTCCCTCATCAGGCCCACCTGGTACAACACTGGCCACACCGTGACCTTTCTCATCTTCTCTTAAATCGTGTGCATCCAGAAGTTCCTTAGAAATGTGTTTAAAACACACATACTTCATATGCTCTCCAGCCAAATGATGGGAAAAGGCAGAGATATGAATCTTTTTGTTATCGTGAGACAAGTGACAGTTTCTCTTCAAAGTCTAACCGGTAGGTGGTAATTCATCAGAAAGGATCGCATGCAGCCAAGTCATCTGGGGCAGAGGGGCCTGGGCCCCAGAGTAGGCAGTTTGCCCCACCCACGGCTGGTCCACCGAGGGAGGCAGGAGTCCCTGTAAGGCCTTTTCCGAGGCCCCTGCAGGCCCAGCACAGATTAGCTGCAGTCTCCTGCCGCTGCCTGGGAAGCAGCCCGACCAGAGCAGCGAGGGGGCGGCAGCAGGCTGGTCCATCCCAAATCCATGTGTCACTGGTCCAGGCCTCCCTCTGACTAACTGGCTGTTTGATCTTCCAAAGTGAGACTGGTGAAGGTCAGGGGGAAAAGAAATGCTTATCAGAACGGTAAAGGTTTAAAAATAAAGATGCCTCCCCATCTCCCTTTCTCCACCTGCTTCCAATAGCCAACTCTGTAGGTGAGGATAAATAACTGACTGCTTGACCCCCTGGCACAAGGCTGCCCACCTGTCTCCCTGCATTGGTGCCAGTCATTTCCTCCTTCCTCCCATTGTTTATCAGAAGAAAGGCACCAGATTATAAATTCTGCAGGGCCTGACCCCATAGGATTCATGGAAAGCTTTAGGGCATGTATTAATTTGGGTGGCCTCAGGCTTTTATAGGGCAGATGTCCTCTAAAACCCCATTTAAGGTAGCTTTGGCTGCAGGAAGACAGGGTCAGGGAGAGAGGAGGCCAGGGAAGGCTGGGCAGGAGGGTCTGGCTCTGGGGATCCATTGGCAGCTTTGGCAGAAGGGCAGGAGGCTGCTAGCTCAGAGCCACTGCATTGCACAACTCTAGAGGTGCCACAATGTGATGGTGCCCCCTGGAGTTGTGCGGTGCTCACACTGTCTACAGGGACTCTGCCAGTACTTCTCATCCCTCCTCTGTTAGTAGACGCCCCACTTACTACTCTAAAGCCCGAAGGCCCTCTAGTTGGGCACAGTAGCATAGGGCTTTATATACATTTCATCAGGCTAGCTTTCTTGAAAATATGTTCCTTGGATCCTCAAAGGGGAGATGGACGTTCTTTTGAACCTCTAAGGTGCTGCCAGGTTGCACCAGAACCTTGTTCATAACCACAAAATGGCGCAGGCCCCCAGTTTGCCTGAGTAGAAGGGAGGCAAGAGGAGTGGAATGTTCTTGGGGCATAGGATAGAGGAGTCACTACTGTAGGTTAGGGGCATGTCTCATTAAATGGTGCAGACTGAATTGAGGGGGGGAGATTGAGGGCATCATGTGGAAGAGGTCAGGAGGACGAAGAAGAGGAAGAAAGCATGGGCAGGTGCTCCAACCTGGAATTGGTCTGAGCTGGTTAGGGGGTGTTGAGTTTAGCATTCTTTCTCTGAGCACTAGGATTATAGGGAGGCAGGATTTACCAGCAGAGTAATCCTCCCCTCCAGTGGGTGCAGGGTTGTGCATCCTGTGCCGGGGTAGATTTCCTCTAATGCCCAGTGCCTCATGCCAGGGAGGAGAGAATTTCATGCCAGAGGAGAGGGGGAGGTTGTGATCTAGCTGTGCCCTCCCCTGGGCAGGCCTGGGCTTTTCAGAGGCCTGCTCCCCGGCGCTATTATCTCTGGCTTCACTCCCTGCAGAACCGGGTGGGACTTGACTGCAGGTCTTCAGAACAGAGCATCCAGGGCCTCGTAGATAAAGACGGGCATGTGAGAGGAGCCAGGCCCATTACACAGCATTCTTCCGGGCAGGCTCCAAAGAGCCGGGCGAGGCAGCAGTGAATGTTCTTTTTCTTCTTGGCTCTTCTTCCCTACTTTGTACTCCACTTCCATTAAACTTTCATGAGATTGACGGGCGTCTCGCACGGTGCCTGGCCCCCAGGAGGCACGCAGTTAACGTACGTTGAATCACTGATGGCAGTGAGCGCTGGCTTACAGCTGCTGGTCCCTGCAGTAAACACGTGACATGCATCGTCTCTCATGCCCCTCAACCACCCTATTTATCATTTTGTCATGATCCATGCATTCTGCGGTTGAAGAAACGAAGGCACAAGGAAGTTAAGTAACATACTGCAGGGCCGAATAGCTAGAAAGTGGCCAAACTGGGGTTTGAATCCAGGTCATCTGGTTCAACTCTGCTTTTCAGGGCACTCGAGGCCTAACCCTTAGGGACAAATGGGAAGGAAGAGTCTACCCTGAAGAACAAAGTCTACCCCAGCTTGTGCCCTTGGAGCCTCAAGGTTGCCCTGGGCTGGAGCAGTACCTCTTAGGAAGGTGGGCCAAGGCCCTCAGTGTCTTCAGCAGCCCGCCACCAGGCTGCTCCCCACCCCTTGCCCTAGCGACACCCCGAAGGCAGTTCTCTACCCAGGAGAGGCAAGAGTGCAGTGTGCTGGGAGAGCCCTGGCCTGGGAGCTGGAAGGCCTGGGTGCGGGTTTGGGCTCTGCCACTGGCTGGCCACATGATGCCAGGTACGTCGCCTTCCCTCTCCGGTGGGCAAGGAGACCAAAACCGATGCGTCAGCATGGGAGGCCTTTTGTCACAGGGCTGGAGGGCATCCGTTTCAGGCAGGACTCCCCAGCCCCAAGCCCCCACAGAAAGCTACCCGATGGACCATCATCTCTGGGGCTAGCCCCCACTGCGCCTCAATCTCCATGAGAAAGACATTGATGTGTGTTCACTCATTCCCTGCAGGTCTGAGCACCTCCCCTGCACGAGGGTCTTCACCTTGATCCTGGGGGCTGGCCGGGGAGAGTAGTGCCTGCTGGCTACTCATGACTCTCAGATTTTTATGATCACCAAGTAAGCCAGTAACAAGGTTTAGCCACAGAGGGGCTCCCTTCTCCCTGCCCCTCCCCTGTCCCCATACCACACACCCAAACCAATGCAAGTGTGGGAATGAGCGGCACAGATGTTTGTAAGTGTGGATGCGTGAGAAGAACCCCAAACTGGGTCAGAATGAATTCCATAATTGGGGCTTGGGGATGGGAAGGTGAGTCCTCCCCTGGCATCCTCCTCCATTCTGATTTTGAATCCTCTCCCATTTGGAGGGTCTGGCATCTCCCAGAGCCGTGTCAGCATGGTGAGGGACTCTTGAACACCCAGCAGGGCTCCAGCCTTGGGAAGAGAGGGAGGGAAGAGCACTCTTTACCTGGAGAGGCTGTTGTGTGGTCCTCTCACCTTCCAGGCAGGCTGAAGAGGGTGGAAGATCAACACCACCCCCTCCCATTCTCCAGCAGGTCAGAGGCTGTCTGGAAGACTGGAAGAGCTCTAGCCTACCCCATGCCCCAAGGGCCCTGGGAGAACACTCAGCTTGTCTTCCTCATGAGAGGACAGAACTGGCTGTGTGACCTTGTGAGAGCCACTTCACGTTTCTGGCCCTTGATTGTCCCAGGGGCTTAATCGGCTGGCTAAACAGAAGCCTCTACAGAGCCCTTAGCGTTCTATGACTGCAGGAAGATGGTACTAGAGCCGGTCCACAGCCTCTTCACCCGCAGATATACCCCCCCACCCCTTCCACAAGCTGGGCAGCGGGCAGCACCAAATCAGGATAGGGTA